GAAATTCAAACCCGGTAACAACAAAGTAAAACTACGGTCAAACTTAGAAATTCTTTAAACCTTTAAACTTCTAGTTTTCAACAAATTGCGTTAATTCAAGTTAGGGACTTCGGAATTCAATTCAAGGCATAAGCCCAAGTCCCAAATCAAGATACGGACCCACCGGGACCGTCAAAATACTTATACAGATCCGTTTACAAAAAATATTGACTGTAGTCAACTCAAATAAATTTTAAGGCACGATTTCATATTTTTCAATTTTCTCATATAAACCTTCCAGAGAAAGGACATGGCACACATAAATCGAGAAATATTAAATATAGCTGTTTGAGGTCTCGGAACACCGAAATAAGAGGTAAAACTATAAATGATCTATCGAGTCATCACATAATAATCATATATAAAGTTTGGGATGCCAAATTACAATGTAACCTCACTACTAGAAATATAAACTTTTCCCACAGAAGAATCGGTTGGAAATCTGTGTGAAATTTTAATATTCCCACGACATTCCCAGGGGAGACGCTCAGTGGAAATATGGCTGGTGGAAAAATAGTTTCGCAGGACATTCGTGGGTAATTTCCAGGGAGTTTCCCACTGAGGGCTTCACGAGAACTTGGTGGGGTCACATAATGTATTTTTCCACGAACATCGTGGGAAAAGTAAGATAATATAATAATTTAATTTTCTTAAGTTTCCCACCAAATCTGTGGGATGTATTAAAAATAATTTAGATATTATTTTATTTGACGCATAGAAGTAGTGGAAAATATTCGTAACCTGAAATAAACATTTGAATATTCCCAAAAACATCAATGGGAAATATTAAAATTCTTGAAATAATATGCACAAAATTCCCACGGAGATAGTGGAAAATCCGTGGTAAATCTGAAAAATATTTTCATGGCCAAATTTATTTTTAGAACTACAACACCTGCCAAACAGAAAGTACAGCCAAAAATACAAAACTAAATATAATTAAGAATTCAAATACCAAATTCAACATGCAATCCAATTCATTTCATAAAATAAATCTAATTCAATCCATTTCATAAACAATATCCAACTAAACAGAAAGTAGAACAAAAATTCAAAAAATCCAGCATTCAATGTTCAACATCCAGCTACGATCCAAGACAAACTAATAAAAGAAACTAATCCTTAGTTATCATCAGATGCTGGAGAACAGGGCACAAGAAATGCACCAAATGCTAGGAGGAAATTTATCTGAGCTTGAGACTTTTAACATCACTAGTGACAAGTATTCCATAGTTTTCATCAATCGACTAATTTTTAATGAACTCCTCCAAGCTTCGTTTGAAAGTATCTTGTAAAAAAATATAATTATTATAAAAGTAAACTTTATTAAAGAAAATTTATGCAAGTAAGTATCTTTGTTTCTCAAACTTTAAAGTGAAACACATGGAAGGATAAAAGACTTAGCAGTCTGGCTAGACTTAATCATTTTAATATGTTTCAAAAATATCTAATGTATGAAACTTACTCGCATATAGACAATGTATCAGTACTTCTAATAGAAAAAAATTACTACATCATCTCTTTTGTAAAAATCAATACCCATAAGCCAACTAATAGGCATCACTGGCATCTGCTCTCAATTAGATTCTATCATCTTCAACTTTTAAAGAACCAAACACCTATAAACAAAAAAAATCAAATGGAAATGTTAAGCTACGACAAGAACTCAAATGATAAAATCATTCTCAAATAGACACATTCTAGCACCTAATGAAATAAGCAATGAACTCATTAATTTCTCCTCTTTAATTCTGAAAAATATTAGTAACTACTCTTTTTCTTTTTTCCTTTTTTAATTCAATTAAAAGCTATATTTTTAGATTACTGTGAACAAACTCAAACCCACCCTCATTCATATACTTTTAAAAGAATCTGAAAAATATTCCAAAAGATATTCCAATCTAAACTTAGACATTACTTTAGTAACTATATCATAAAAAATATGGCATAATTCAAGGAAACTCTAGTTTTAGAAGGTGTTTGTCTGCGGTCCTAGCAGGATTATGCTTGCATTGTTAAATCTGTAGCTACTTTTAAATAAAGACTACATTATTTTACAGTTCTCAAGGAGGAAAATATTCCTTATTTTGACATGGGCAACTTAGAAATCTTTCTAATTTCTCCATGTTTGTGAAGAAAATGTGTAAATACATAGCACCAATCCATTTTTTTTTAAAAACAGATCTGAAAAATAGACCAAACTAAATAAAAATAAACGAGCTCAATATTGTCTTTTAACAAATTCATTGTTTATAAGACGAAATAAATAAAGATTTAGGTTTAATTAGACTATACATGCACAAGAGAACAACAATAATTTTTTCAAACCTAGGGTTTGAAATAGCAGAATCCCTAAGTTTTGAAAAATCAAAATCGAAAAAGGAGTAAGAGAGAGAGAGAGTGGGGGGGGNGAGTGGAGAGACAGAGGGAGAAAACACGAAATAGACTAAGAGAAAACTAAAAAGTTATGTGAATAATAATAAAACTTTCCCACTACTTCCGTGAAAAATCTCCATGGAAAAGTTTTCATTTTTTTTTATAAAGCACAAAAATTCAAAATTCAAAAATTTTCGTTCACACAGAATTTGTGGGAATATTTAAAAACGTGTTTTTTATTTTTTTCTACTGTTTTCCCTAGGAAATGTTTTTAGTTTTATATAATTATTTTTTTAATGACTTTTTCCACCGAATTAGAGGGAACTAAATTACGCGTATTTTTGCGCAAATACGTTTACACGGATAGTCAATGGGAAACGTTATTGTTTATACATGAAAAAGAAATTTCACTTTTCCCATTGAATTTCAGTGGGAATTGCCACTAACAATTTTTTCGTGGAATAATTTTCACGTTTTCTATGCACAACGGCCCAAATGGCCTATGCGTTTGTGCGTTTTCTCACGCGTTCGCGAAGTCTTCTCCCCCATGCCTTCGCGTTCGTGAGCCAGGGCTCGCGTTCGCGTAGAGCAAACCACAGATTCCCCTGCCCATGTCCCTCAACACTACGCGTTCGCGAAAGGCTACCCGCGTTTGCGAAGGGCAACCCCCAAAGCTTCGTGTTCACGTACTAGCCATCGTGTTCGCGAGGAAGAAAAGCTTCCCCAGCACAGATTACTCTTCGCGATCGCGGGAGTATCATTGCGATCGCGAAGAAGAAAGCACCAGATGACAGGAGAAGCGCAAAACTAGAAATTTTCCTAAGTTCAAACCATCCGTAGCCTATTCGAAACTCACCCGAGCCCTTGGATTTCCAAACCAAACATGCACACAAATCCAAAAATATCATATGAACTCGCTCGTGTGTTCAAAACACCAAAATAATAGCTAGAACTACGAATCAGACACCAAAACGAATGAAAATTTTAATGAAACTTAGAACTTTTAATTTCTCAATCGGACGTCCGAATCACGTCAAATCAACTTTGTTTTGCACTAACAATTGCAGACAAGTCATAAATGTTGTAATAAACTTATACCAGGTTCCGGAACCGAAATCCGAACCCGGTAACAACAAAGTCAAACTACGGTCAAACTTAAAAAAATTTTAAACCTTTAAATTTCAAGTTTTCAACAAATTGTGTTTTAAGGCACGAATTCACATTTTCATCAATTTTCTCATAAAAAACTTTCGGAAAAAGGACACGGACATCGCACACAAATCGAGAAACATTAAACGGAGTTGTTTGAGGACTCGGAACACAAAAATAAAGGGTAAAACTGTAAATGATCTATCGGTTCATCAGGCAATGATCATATATAAAGTTTGGTTACAGTGTAACATCTTGCACATCAATGATTAAAGGAAGCCTAGTTTTAATTAAGAAAAAAAAAAAAGACAGCCTCCAAACCATGTCAGACCAGAATTCGGACAATTCAAATTCTCTTAACACCCGGCACAAGTAATCTCATTCTACTCAACATCAATACTATTTTCAAATGAAAATGCGGTTCCATTCCACTTGTTGCTAAAAGATGTATTCAAAATATATATTAATCGACATAGAGACAAAAACAATCGCACAAACATATGTATAGAATGGTCATACATTCATCTGCTTTTTCTAGTATGTGATGCTTAGGTTATGTTTGCATGAACATTAAGTGATATTACCAAAAAAAAAAAAGTAAAAAAAAAAAAAGAAACTTAAGTGCAACTTCCGCTTGGATTTAACTTGTGGCTGAAAGTATCAAGGCAAACAAGTCAATATATGACATGGCATGCAATGACGCTTTTTCATTTAAATTGCATGTTGAGAGTGTTATAGATGGCAATACTAAGGTGATACATAGCAGATGATTCAAAAGTCAAATTTTATTAGATGTGGGCTATATTCAATCAAGAAGTGTCAATCATGAGATATGGGCATCTTATAATTTATCTGGTACTGTATTTTATTTTTGAACCGTACATAATGTTAGAATTACTTTAATATATATTAATTCATATAATTTGTAAATATTAAATTTATATTTTGTCAAATATTATCATATAAAATAGAATGAAGTATTACACTACTTAAAAAATATTTAAAATATTCACTATTGGCATAATTAGGAAAGAAAGAATCAGGATATCGTTTCCTTGTATTTGATGAATGATTACGCTTTTGAGTTGCCTACTCTGCGTAAAATTATTGCATTCCATTTTTGTGTTATGGTCAAGATTTCAACCAATTCTGCCAGTATTGAAGAATATAAGATGCATCCTATATTATATTAACACGTTGTTCAAATGGCATAGCATCTTTTTCCACTACCTATGATAAAAGAATTACTTATGATTTTCCAAGAATTATTATATTCTGACTCCTTAAAATATTCTGATACACTAATTTTTGTTGGGATTTAAAGCTTACATACTTGGCCGGGAGCATTTCTCCTCGAGCCTTACACGTTGATAATTTCGGATTAGTCATCTCCAATGCGGATGCTGGACAGCGCGTGCGAAATTAAAAACGAAAGACCCTAGCACAGGGAAACTCCACTACTTCATAATACTTACTATAAATCAACCCTTGGACATAGAGTCAAGCCAGTTCATAAAATGAAAATGTTTTCATCATCTTACCGCCAAGGTTTTTCCTTCTCTATTGTTCATATTGTCAATCTTGGCGTAAAGCCATTTTGGATTGAAGTAAGTTATTTCATGATCCTTTCATTGTTAGGTTTTTTAGCTTTGACTATTTCAAAACCTAGAACTCTGCCGTCATTTAGGCCTCAAAACCTTGATGTGTTTTTCACTTCTGTTTCTGCTGCCACAGTTTCTAGCATGTCCACTGTTGAAATGGAGGTTTTCTCAAACGCTCAACTTGTCTTCTTAACCATATTAATATTTCTTGGTGGGGAGGTTGTTACCTCTTTTCTTAGACTTCAACTCATGAAGTCCAAAATTTCCATGGAAAAAACGGTTTTACAAAACAAAATTGAATCTTCAAACTCTATTATTAGCATAGATTCTCACGACTCTTCAAACTCTACTAGGAACTCCATCCATCATCTTGAGCTAGGACATGAAAAAGAGGATAATAATTTTGAACATGCAATAACCAATTCTATGGAGGACAGTGAGACAATTAATGTCAAATTGAAGTCTTTAAGATTCTTGAGTTATGTGGTTTTTGGTTATACTCTAGGTGTTGTTATTCTTGGTTCTTCCTTAGTTTCTATCTACATAAGCTTTATTCCAAGTGCAAAACAAGTTCTCAAAGAAAAGGAGCTTAACTTGCATACTTTTTCCCTCTTCACCACGGTTTCAACATTTGCAAATTGTGGGTTTGTCCCTACAAATGAAAACATGATGGTTTTCAAGAAAAATTCAAGCCTTCTTCTCATTCTTATCCCTCAAGTCCTTTTTGGAAACACATTGTATGCTCCTTGTTTACTGTAACGACCCGGCCGGTCGTTTTGAGTATTATAATCCCATTTCTCCATTTACTACTCAGGTTATGCTTTACAGTTTTTTATGACTTACCGTGTTAATTGGTTTGGGCCAGGAAGAATTTCGGAGTGAAATGAGAGACTTAGTCTCATAATTGAAAACTTAAGTTGGAAAAGTTGACCAGATATTGACATATATGTAAACAACATCGGAATTTAATTCTGATGATTCCAATAGCTCTGTATGGTAATTTTGGACTTAGGAGCATATCCGAAAAATTATTTGGAGGTCCGTAGTGAAATTAGACTTGAAATGGTGAAAGTCGAATTTTTGGGAAGTTTGACCCGAGAGTTGACTTTTTGATATCGGGATCGAAATTTGATTCTGAAAATTTTAATAGGTTCGTTATGTCATTTATGACTTGTGTGCAAAATTTGAGGTCAATCGGACTTGATTTGATAGGTTCCGACGTCGTTTGTGGAAACATAAAATTTTAAAGTTCACTAGGCTTCAATTGGGGTATGATTCGTAGTTTTAGCATTGTTTGAGGTAATTTGAGGGTTTAATTAAGTTCGTATGGTGTTTTAGGACTTGTTGTTATTTGGTTGAGGTCCCGGGGGCCTCGGGTGAGTTTCATAAGGTTAACTGATCAAATTCGGACTTAGAAGAAAATTTGAAGGTTTCTACCATCTAATGTAATAGCACCTGCGGAATTTCCATCGCAGGTGCGAGCTCGCAGAAGTGAGCCTTCCATCGCATATGCGTCCAGGCATAGCTGGGGCTTCGATTGCAGAACCGTCCCCACACCTGCGGGCGTTTGATCGCAGAAGCGCAAGGGCGCTTGGTGAGGCAGCTTCGCAGAAGCGGACAGCTCCTCGCAAAAGCTTATCCGCAGATACGCATAAAATCCCGCAGAAGCGAAAACCCCTGGGCAGTAGAAAAACAGAGGGGTTCCGAGCTTTTGCCATTTTTGGGCATTTCAAGCTCGGGCTGGGCGATTTTGAACGAGGTTTTCACAAAAATTTTTAGGTAAGTCACTTGTTATCATTTCTACTTTATAATATTGAATTATCATCGAATAATCCGACTAGATTACATATTTTTGAGGTGTAAATCGGGGATATGAACTTAGGGATTTAAAACTAAGATTTGAAGATTTGGAGATCGAGTTGAGGTCAGATTTTGGTAAAATTAGTATGGTTAGACTCGTGATTGAATGGGCTTCCGGATTTTGTAACTTTTGTCGGGTTCCGAGATGTGGGCCTCACACGGCTTGAGGTACGTAACAATTCTAAATTTGGTCCTGAGGGTAAGAAACCCCCTAATATGTATTATGAGATTAGCTTTGAGGTGATGCACATGTTAGGTGACGGGCGTGTAGGCGTGCACCATAGGAATTATGACTTGGTAAATTTCATGGAACTGTGTAGTTGAAAAATCTGTTAATATTCATATATTTTTTCCCGTATTAGAGAAATTGATCTATGAATCATGTTTAAATCATATGTTTACACTGTTGGGACCCACATAGGTCGTGTACTTGTGAAATTATTTGCTAAATTGTTGTTTTGCACAGAGTCACAGTTCTATTTGCACATGTTTACCTCAGTCTCTCTTATTCATTATTGATGCATCATATCATTGTTGTTGGGCTGCTTATCATGATTTCTGAGAGTCCGAGAGACTAGAGAGGTTGATGATTGAGTGAGGCCGAGGGCCTGATTGTGAGGATATTTATGGATCGGGCTACACGCCGCAACATGTTTTATTGATTTATGCAATGATTGGCTTGATATAGCGCTTGGGCTGAAGGAGCCCCTCCGGAGTCTGTACACATCCCCAGTGAGCGCATGTACCTACTGAGTGCGAGTGTCGAGTGATGAGTGATTGTGAGGAATGAGTGACTGTGAGGAAAGAGTGACTGTTGGAGTGAATGGGAGGACTGAGTAACTGTTACTCTGAGAGGATGCATTGATTTCATTATTTGTTGCATTTCAACTGTCATATATCACTATTTTTGGAACATTTTCGGAAAAATATTATTTTCTGTTTCGGCCAAACTTGATATAAAATTTTAGTGAAATCTTAAATGTTGAACTTGAGAGCATGCCTACCTTTTTTTTATTGGAAAGTAATGTATTTGGACTTAGCTGAGAAGCTCGTCACTACTTTCAGTTCTTTATTTATTATTGTTACTTACTGAGTTGGTTGTACTGATACTATACCCTGCACTTCGTGTGCAGATCCAGGTGATCCCGGATATAGTAGGTGTTGATTCTTTCATACAGTTGATATTTCGGAGTATTCAGAGGTAGCTGCTATATTTCGCAGACCTTGTCTCTCCTTCCCTATCCTTTTGTTTATTGTGTTTGGTCTTAGATTATTATAGACCGTGTTTTCAAGACTTGTAATGTATAGATGCTCATGTACTCAGTGACACAGTATTTTGGGAGTGTGTGTATCGGTATTTGCGAGACTAGTGGATTGTTTTTAAATATTATATTTTCAAACTTAAAAGAAATTATGATTTATTGAGGTTGTCGGCTTGCCTAGTATCGAGATAGGTGCCATCACGACAGGTTAGGATTCTGGCTCGTGACAAGTTAGTATTAGAGCCTAGTTTACATAGGTCTCACGAGTCATGAGCAGGTTTAGTAGAGTCTTGCGGATCGGTACAGAGACGTCTGTACTTATCTTCGAGAGGTTGTCTAACCCTTAGGAAAATTTTACTTTCTTGTATTATGTCATGTGACTTATTGATTCCGGAAACTAAATTTTTGTTATTCTATTCTCTCACAAATGGTGAGAACACGTACTACCGGATCGGACGGTCAGCCACCAGTGCCACAAGCTAAGGCCGCGAGAGGCCGGAGCCATAGTAAAGGTCGGGGCCGAGGTAGAGGTCGAGGTGTAGCTCGTACCACAGTTGGACCTGCACCTGTAGTACCACCAGTTGCACCAGCTCATGAGCAAATTCCAGATATAGCTGAGCCGACAGGACCAGCTAAGGCACCAGTTGTGCCCATTGAGATTCCAGGCCTTCGGGATACTTTGGCCCAGATATTGGCAGTTTGCACTGGTCTTGCTCATGTGGTTTTGGCTCAGGACGCACCTGCCACTTCTCAGGTCAGGGGAGGTACTCATACCTCTGTTGCCCGTAATCCAGATTAGGTAGTGCAGGGACTTCAGATACCGGGGGCACTACCAGCCTAGCCGGCTGTAGCTGTTCAGGCCCCGGTAGTCCCCGTTATGGCAGATGATGAGCATATGGGACTTGAGAGATTTGGGAGGCTTCGACCTCTATCATTTAGCGGTGATGAATCAGAGGATGCTCGCGGTTTTCTAGATAAATGCCAGCGGATACTTCAGACAACGGGTATTTTGGAGACCAGTGGATTCTCCTTCACTACTTTTCAGTTTTCTAGAGCTGCCTTCAGATGGTAAGAGACTTATGATAGGCGCAGGCCGGTCAATGTTGTACTACTTACATGGCAGGAATTCTCCGTTCAATATTTTTGGGGAAGTTTGTACCGCAGTCCCGCAAAGAGGACCTGCGCAAACAATTTGAGCAGTTACGTCAGGATGGCATGTCTGTGATGCAATACGAGATGAGATTTCTGAGTTGGCTCGTCACGCAGTTTTGTTGGTTCCCATTGATAGGGAGAGGATTAGTAGGTTCATTGATGGCCTCACAAATCAGTTACGGTTACTTATGACTCGGGAGAGAGAGTATCTAATGCTACTTTTGATGAGGTAGTTGACATTGCTTGGCAGATAAAGATGGTCCGTAGCCGAGAGTGTAGAGAAAGGGAGGCTAAGAGGCCTCGTGATCCAGGTGATTTTAGCGGTGTTCCTTCCTGGGGTCAGTTTTACCGCGGTAGGGGTCGTCCTTACAGACATGCTCGGCCGGGTCGTCCAGTTCACCGCGGTGCATCATCCGGCCAGGGTTTATATAGTTCTCATCAGGGCCAGTCATCTCTCAGTGTCGTGCCAGCCCAGAGTTCGTCCCATGCTTATTCAGTTCAGGGTTTATTTGCACCAGGTTCTTCTAGCAGTTATTCTGGTTCTCAGGTCCCGATTCAGTCAGCACCACCACCAGTACCGGGTATCTGCTTTGAGTGTGGGGAATTTGGGCATATGTGGAGATAGTGTCCTTGTTGCTCGGGAGGTCCAGTGCAACAGAGGAGTCAGACTACGACTTCAACACCTGCCCAGCCAGCACGGGGTGGGGGTCAGTCAGCTAGAGGTCGCCCAAGAGGGGGAGGGCGATCAAGTGGCGGTCAGGCCCGATTCTATGCTTTTCCTGCCAGGCCAGATGTCGTTGCCTCAGATGCAGTGATCATAGGTATTGTCTCAGTGTGCCACAAGGAAGCTTCTATATTATTTGACCATGGTTCCACTTAGTCATATGCATCATCGTATTTTACTCGTTATTTGGATATACCCCATGAGTCCTTAGTTTTACCTGTTCGTGTATCTACGTGGGTGGGCGATATTATTACTGTGGACCGTGTGTATCGGTCGTGTATGGTAAATATTAGGGAACTGGAGACTAGAGTTGATCTTGTATTACTCATTATGGTTGATTTTGATGTAATTTTGGGTATGGATTGGTTGTCTCCATGTCATGCTATTCTGGACTATCGCGCAAAAAGCATGACGTTGGCGATGTTGGGGTTGCCAAAGATTGCATGGAGAGGTTCTCTAGATGTGTTTCCTAGCAGGGTAGTTTCTTATTTGAAGGCCCAACGTATGGTTGGGAAGGGGTGTTTGTCATATTTGGCCTTTGTGAGAGATGTTGATGCATATATTCCTACTATTGATTCAGTACTGATAGTACGAGACTTTTCGGATGTCTTTCCTGCAGACCTGTCGGGTATGCCACTCGACAGAGATATTGATTTCGGTATTGATTTGGTGTCGGGCACTCAGCCCATTTCTATTCCTCCGTATCGTATGGCACCAGCTGAGTTAAAAGAATTGAAAGAGCAACTTCAGGAACTCCTTGGTAAGGGGTTTATTAGGCCTAGTGTGTCACCTTGGGGTGCACCAGTTTTGTTTGTGAAAAAGAAAGATGTTACTATGCGGATGTGCATTGATTATTGACAACTGAACAAAGTTATAATCAAGAACAA